TACATCTATTTGTGATTTACTATTGTATAACATTAAGGGGATCGATATCGAATATAATGGTTATTATCATTTTTTGTCTGTAAATTTTTTTAAAGATTTTAATTTTGATTTTTTTTTTCTGTTAATTAAACAATAAGGACCATCTGTATCTACCCACAATCAGAACGGAGGACAGTCTGGGCCAACACGTTGCTCAGACTTAACGGTATCTAAGAGTTTTATAGATCACCTAATCATAAATGGGAATTTTTGTTTTGCGAAATAAGCTATGGTCCATATTCATTTGATTGGAAACATTATTGGAAAGATGAATTAAGACTCGGCAAATTTTCGAAAGACTCTTGGAACAGTGCATATTTTTTAACTCAGAGAATCGATGCTTCGGATCAATTATTAAAAGACATGATGGATGAACTGAATCATGTGATGATACATTTTTATGAAACAAACATGGATATATATATCTTGGATCGCAAGACAAAACCGTGCCATCGGATGTGCCTGATAAAGTCATTAGAGATACCACTCATAAACAGCAATGAACAAAAGACAATACATATGATAAATAAATTATGTAAAGGAATATTAATGGCAAACAAATTAATAGTTGATGTTATTAGGAGAATTGAAGCTATTAATCAATTGTTACTCAACAGTAACAACCCTACCACTCCTCCAAATCTAGTAGATAGTGATAACTTATTTCCGACATTTATAACACCTGATGGGCTAATTTATTAAATTCGGGTAGAATGATGACGTTATTTATGGATTCTACATTATTTCATATACAATAAATTTTAAAATGCTATTAAGAAGCTTTTAATTATGTTTTAAATTGATACTATATTATCCTGTATAAATTCCATTTTGCTATCATTGCTTGTTTTATGAAAGGTCGTGATATCCTAAATCAATGAAATGCAATTGATGATTGTCCGAATTTCAAAATTCCTTTGTCTCCATTAGAGATGCAGGCGAATGGTCCCAATGATGCCGTAACTTTGCCGTAACATGCTGTATCTATATTAAACAATTATAAAA